AGACCTTATTCGAGCATTTAACCATAAACCCATTAAAAAAACAAAAACATCGACTTAAAGGATTAGTTCACTTTAAAAAAAACTTTTGCTGATAATTTACTCACCCCCATGTCATCCAAGATGTCCATGTCTTTCTTTCTTCAGTCGAAAAGAAATTAATGTTTTTGATGAAAACATTCCAGGATTTTTCTCCATATAATGCACTTTGCTGGGCACCAAACGGTTCAAGGTCTAAATGACCGTTTCAGTGCAGCTTCAAAGGGCTTTAAACGACACCAGACGATGAATAAGGGTCTTATCTAGAGAAACGATCTGTCATTTCAAAAATAAATAAAAAAGTTAAAGTTTTATAGGCACAAATGCTCGCCTTGCGAACTCTCCTGTTCGAACTCGTTCATCAAAATGAACGATTTTTTCGAGTCAATGACTCGAAAAAAGATGCGTTCATTTTGATGAACGAGTCAATGACTCGAAAAAAGATGCGTTCATTTTGATGAACGAGTCAATGACTCGAAAAAAGATGCGTTCATTTTGATGAACGAGTCAATGACTCGAAAAAAGATTTGTTCATTTTGATGAACGAGTTCGAACAGGAGAGTTCGCAAGGCGAGCATTTGTGCCTATAAAACTTTAACTTTTTTATTTATTTTTGAAATGACAGATCGTTTCTCTAGATAAGACCCTTATTCATCGTCTGGTGTCGTTTAAAGCCCTTTGAAGCTGCACTGAAATGCATTTAGACCTTGAACCGTTTGGCTACAACAGTTCAGAAAAATCTTGGAATGTTTTCATCAAAAACATTAATTTCTTTTCGACTGAAGAAAGAAAGACATGGACATCTTGGATGACAACATGGGGGTGAGTAAATTATCAGCAAAAGTTTTTTTTAAAAAGTGAACTACTCATTTAAGGTTGATGGAACAAAAAGTGCTAAGAAGCTAACTAATTTTCGGGTTTTGGCCAACAAAAAAAATACATCAACCCTGCAGCACTCTATTAAACTGCAAAAGGAGAAAGAATTGAATCAGAGAAAAATCATTCAGTTAAGAACTTTAAAAAAAGGAGCTTTTTTTTTTTCACTGGCATGGTTAATGGCTTAGTCACATAATAAATTAATATATCAGAGCTTCTGTTAACAGCTTTGCACAGGATGAACTGGACAAAATCTGATGACAGCACCCTTGATCAGACGCGCTTCAGACTGGGCCGTTCTGGCGTCTGACATCAGGATGACATCAGAGCTGTAGAGCTATGCACATCACAGCAATCTAGCCTTTGATGTGCAAACCACACATCTGGAGCTGGAACCAATCCAGATAAAATGGAGCTTATCAAACCACAGCAGCGTTCCAGTTTTTTCCTAACTAATGAAGAAAGCACTGACAGCTTAATCAAATAACTCAGCAAGAACTGAAAAAATTCTGCTGTGGACTGTATTCTGTTTTCACTAAATAGTTTGTTCATAAAGATCTTGCTAGTTTTTTCATCCAACCGATTATGGCTATTGATTCAGCCCATGTTTATGCCATGACCGTCCTATAGGAAAAGAGCTTGGAGTCACTGGGTCTCCACTGTGCTTAATGAATCGGCCGATATAGAATCTAAAAGCGTAGATTTCCATAGTAGATTTTCCTTAATTTCACAATGTTGTACACACAATGTTCCTCCCAGGATAGTCACATGAACCCTAAAATGTACATAGACCCCGGGAACACGCAAGCAGTGTTGAGAAGAGGAAGAGTTGTTGTAGTAAAGCACATTTGGGAGTCTGCTCAAACTGTCGGACCCGTCTTTTAACAATTATTGCAATACAGTAAGTAACACAAATGCACTAGCATGTCACTCTGTAGGCATCTTACAACAGTTCAAACACTAGCAATTTATAGATTCTCATTAAAGAATATGCTAATCAATGACTTGAAGATAGTTAACTCCACATCAGCTACATAAATTCATCAACTAACCATTCAGAAACGTCCTGTTGCATTCTACGTTGTCACTTTTTTTTTTAGTCTCTCCATCATTGTCCGACTTCAGTTAAAAGCAGAACAGTTTCTGACATTTTAGTGCGTGTCTGCATGAGGTAATCGGAGCTGCTAACACACAGGAGCTCTTGAAGCTCCGCCCTCTGTGCCGGGAGCAGCAGCTCATTGCCATTTAAAGGGACACAAACAGAACTACACATTTTTGCTCACTCAAAAAGGGACATTTTTAACATGCTATAAAACATGATCTGTGGGATATTTTAAGCTAAACCTTCACATAGACAATCTGGGGACATCGGAGACTTATTTTATATCTTGTAAAAACGGGCATTATACCACCCCTTTAACAGGTTTGTTAGTTTGTGAAACTTTACGAAAGTTCTATTTACTAGTGGTCGACCGTTATATCCCCAAGACCGATCTGCATTGGCCTGTTTCTGTTTGGCTGATGTGTCATAAGTGGGACTTTTATTTTGACAGCATTGAGACTGCCAGTGCCTGAGCACACAATATAATCATATCTTATTACATAGAACTGTTAAACAAAGCAAGTAAACAACATACAAACCATTAGCTTTTTTATTATTACTAATAGAACGGCAAACACTGTAATATCACAGTCCCTTTCTCGTCTACCGTTAGCATTCACCATATACTCATTTATACCATTTAAACAAGTCTTTGAATGTCTAGTAAACAATTAATTTTTTAAACCTTGCAGACAGTCGAATTCAGCTGTGAGATATTCTGAAGTGTGCATTTGTAGCCTGCATGAACGAGTGTTAGAGGTGATGATGTACGGGGCAACTTTTTAATCAATGTTGCTGGGGCACTTTCCCATTGAGAACGGGCAACAAATTTCTAATTGGATTCTTTAGAGTGGTCGTGGGCCCTGTGTCTCACCTGGTTGCCCGTTGACGCAACATTACTCAGCAACATTGCTCAAAAAGTTGCCCCGTGTATTATCCCCTTTACTCTAGTGTGTGTGATGATTGGTCTGTGCGAATCGGATGCAGACAGGGGAGTTCAGCTGCCAATGGAGACGCACGATCGGCAACTTTAACTCTTGATTTCAAACTTTACTTCGCTTGTCCTGGTGCCTACTATATCAATCCATGTCATTTTCACTGTGTGCTATATGTAAAATTAGTGTTTACCTTGTCTTTATTTGAAAATATATATAATTCCCAGTGCACACAAATTTACCAGATTATAGTGTCCTGTTTTTTAGTGATATTTTTAACTATTTCTTTATTTGTGAAAAAGAATATTATAGGATTGCAGAATCAATAAGTTGATTTCTGTTAATTTAACAGATTTTTACCAAGTTCAAATTAACTAATAAAAAATAAATGATGCAATGAATTGATAAATAGGTCTACCACCTAATATAATATGACAAGGGGAAAAAAACACCTAGTTTATTACATATTTGGGCTAATTTTATTTATGCTGTAGCATTTAAATCCATTCCGCAGAATTCAGCACAAAACAAAATAGTGTGACGCCAAGTCATTTAGTTTTCCTTGTAAAATAAAATTATGAGGAAACGTCTGAACAGAACTTAAGTCTCTCAAAAAAAACTCTTGATGACAGAAAAAAGCAACAAAACGAGAGAGAGAGAGAGAGAGAGAGCGAGCGAGAGAGAGAGAGACTGACCAACACTAAGCTAACACTATATTCCCAGCAATTATTCAAAGACATCCAGTTTTAATAAGGATGGAGTCAGAATGGGTAAACCAAACTTTGATCTCTCATCACACAGCCTTCAACACCCAATCAAATACCTTCAAAGCCAAATCTGTCATTAATCAACCCTTTATTTACACCCAACCAGTCTCTGTCATCCCTCTATCCTGAGTCTTTTTGTCTGACGGACGAGGCATTAGCTTCTAAGTGCTGTCAGATATTCACTCAGATCTGGTGAGTGGCAGGCTGTCAGATCAGGCTGTCCTCAGCTCCCACCCTCCCCACCGAGTGAGTCAAGGCTGCAGGCTGAGCGTCTCTCAGCTGGGCTGTGCCTGACACTACCAGCCTCCTAAAGCTCAAAGACCTGCACTGTACCATCACAATCATCATAATATCACTGATCCTGCTCGTATCTCAGCTTCCATCTCAAGAAAAAAAAGCAAGCATTACTGTGAAAGAATGTTGGATGTATTCCATCCATGATGTTTTGGCTGTTTGACTCGTCCAGTCCAAGAGGACTAGATAATGATAGCTTACCAAAGGAGTCTCCAACACTTTATTCTGATAATACCCTCCTAAACATTCCTTAAACCCACTGGACTTAAAGATTCAGGCCTGGACAGCGTTAACTATAATTATGACAATTTAGAAAAGTTTGTTTTTAAAGTACCAAGTTTGATAGGTCAAGCACAATATTTAGTGAGTCACACTGTGTACAAAGGCAGATGACTCAAGTCTTCAACACAACAGAGCCATACATCCAGAGTAATTCATCACAATCAGTGAACCATAAACTAGGACGTTCCCTCACTGCATTGTATCATCGATCGAGATAAACATGACCAAATCTTTCTCAACATTTTATGAAAATTACTGAGAGTTTGGAGAAGTATCATCAAGGATGCAAAGAGTTTAATACTATAACATTGAAGAAGTCAGTGTTTAATAACCCTGTTGATGTAAAATGTCAGTGGTTCTCGCCAAAGTTTGGACACCATTATATAGACAAATACAAATAACTCCATCGTTTTATAACAAAAAAAAAAAGAATTTTGTCCACATATGTGTCTACATGGAAAAAGTTGTGCTGCCTACTATTTTTGTGGAAACATACATTGGTTTTCAGGATACTGTATAGAATTTATTTTTGTTTGTAACAATGTGAAAGTATTTACTGTCCACTTTTGATCAATGTAATGCATTCTTGTTGAATAAAGTACAAAAATATTTTTTATAAATCTCAAGTGGTAGTCAGTGTATAACATAAATAAAGAGAAGAACTTTTATCATTAATTCCATTTTAGTAAAGCGCTCACAAAAGGATACAATTTGATGGCCCCTGATTTAGTTCCAATGGCCATAAGCTGCAGTGTGGGATCATAGGCCAAAGCACTTGGCTGGTTTGGGAATCCATGTTCAACTGTCTGAGTAAAAAAAAAGAAAAGAAAGAGGAAATCTCACCTTTAGGACTTAAACTCACATGTAAATGTACGTAAGATAGAAAATGTAAGAAATTCCTCTTTTTCTACTAAAAAAGAAATCAATTAATACTTCATTGACCAAGTAGTTGTGCGATCCTGACAGGAAGGGGATTTCCTTGTTTTTACAACAACAAAAATACAGAACCAGAAATAGTACAGAAGGAAACCTAGTAGATTTGACAGACAATGTTAAATTCATCTTCACACAAGCTATCAAAAATGATTTGCAGAAACATGTTTTGGGGCACCTTTAAAAACGTCATCTTAAATCAACACACAGAGGGCACGAATTTAAGCAAAACAAGGCTTGAAGTTGGCCGAAGGATGCAGATCTCTTTTCACAGGTTGACAAAGTGTGTCATAGTAAATAACAGGACCTTCTTGTAACATTATACACAGTGTCATGACACTTCATCAGTATGACACACAAACGCCTTCCACACCACAAAAACCATCTGTGGATAAAAGTCATCAGCGGAATTAGAGAAATGAACAAAAACTGAGGGCTATAACCTAAGATGTTTGAAAATGTTATCTCTCATGATGCTTTACAATGAGGAGGAGGACTAGAAATGTTGCCAGAGTTTGGTCATCAGTAAAGAGCCAACAATCAAACCCTTTCTGTGTTTCTGGCAGGGGAGCAGTAACATGTTCATTATGATTTAAGAGCAGCCTCATTATGAAGAGCTCTACAAATCCTTACAATCACCCTGCTGCTGCCAGCAGCACCACTGCAGGATACATTCAAGGCTCAGAAACCAACATCAATAAACAAACATTCTTTTTTTTTATTAATAAAATTATCATTGAACTAAATTAATATATTTAGCTCTTATATAATCTCATATATTATTTATGTTCTATGCAAATGAATAAATAAAAAAGTTGTCAAACATACCAAAATTAAGTAAAAGAAACTGCATGACAGACACTTCCTGTTCTGCAATTGAAATTCGTTGGAAAAATGTAAAAACTAACCGCTGAAGATACAAATGAGTAAACTTTGAGGTCACTCACAATAGACAACGCGCCCTGATCTTATCTGATTTAATGAGCTCCACTGATGAAGATGATTGAATATCAAACACATTTTTCATTCTCATAAAGCTATAAAAGTCCAACTGTGCACTAACAAGAAGAAAAGCTTGCTATACATAAAGTACTAATTGTTGCAAACAACTTTCATGCGTGTATATTGTTGATACTTAGCCTATATATCTGGCCCTGATAGTTGGAAAACATTGCCGTTAACAGTTGCGTGTTAGTAAAAACAACATTTAAACAGTGCATGTAATTATTTATATATTTTCTTGAATTAAATGTTCTTTCAGTCGATTTCAGTGCAACCCGAAACGCATGCATCCTCGAGACACAGGAGACCCAACGCTATATATCCCACACACCTTATTGAATGCAAATAGATCCTGCTTGATTTTCTCACGATGAGGGTCATTTCCCTGCCGTCTGAACCTAAACTTCATCATCCTGAAGCCGAATCAGAGATATATCACAGCCCGCACCGTCTCAGATTGATAGAAATTCCGTTAGGCGTGAATCGGTGCAGAGAAACAATGTGATCCTTCATGCAAGCTCCAGTTTCTTTTGTATCCACTCCTCAAGCCGTGCAAGTTTTCAGCTGTGTGTTTATGCAGTTTAACCACAGGGCAAGTTCGCAGGAACCACGTCTCAGGAGAGCCAATCAGAGGGAAGAATCTGTTACCAATTCACCAAGCCACGCCCACTGCCAGCGAACGCGTGGAAAACATGGATCAGGATTCGGCTGGCGTAACTATTTATTCACACGTTTGAACTGCCAAGCATCAATTTGTTTTGTTTTTTACAAACATTTAACAGCATAATGTTAATATTATTCATTGTGCATTCAGTGTTATTAAATTAAATTGTGAGAACAGTACAGCTGTGATTTATTTTATTTAGAATAAAGACTTCATATTATACCTACATTCATTGTACATAGTGCATTTTTCGTCCACATAGAGAATTTAACATAATAAAAACATTGTATAAATATTTAAATCATAATAGTCTCAAGTAGTGCAACTTCAAAAACAGTGGCTACATTGTTTTATTACTCTTTCTCTCTCATAAAAAAAATAAACTCTTGCTGATCATGAGTTCAGAGCTAGAGGTAGAAATATAGTGTTTTAAACTATGGGACCATATGTTCACCCTAATGGAAAGCATGCAAATTGTTGCGAATAACAATCTAATCCTGGAACTTGGTTAAATTGCAAACAGACATATTGCACTATCAATAATGACAGCTGGCTTTGGACGTGTATGAGTTTAATAGTGTCTGATTGCAATTATTGCCATAAAAGTACTAATAAATAACATCAGTGAGAAGGCGTGCTAGAGCAGTGTGATTTCACTGGGCGGCAGAGTAAGTCTCTTCTCTCGTACGGACAGCAGGTTCTCCACATGCATGGCGATGACACGGCACAGCTCAAGGCTCTGTAAAGTAAAACGCACAGGAATAAGCTCAGCCCACACTGGCCCAGTGAAAATGAAAACTCATTATATATGACTTATATATATGACTTAGATTTATATTGTGTGATGATTTGGAATCATACATTCCCTCTTTTAGTTGAAAGTCCATACCTGGTCCAGCTGTAACTGTGTAATGCGTTGAGACATTAGGTCACCCAGCATTATCTCCACGTACGGGTAACTGGAGCCAGCTGTGGGCCTCTGTGTCCGGGTGGACTGGACCTCCTTCAGCGGGAACTTCACCATCGGCTCCTGAGGAACATTGAAAACAGCTGTGAAGTCTATATGTGACTATGTTATATAATATCTTGGGAGGAAATGCAAATACATTTGCAAATATAGGGTATAATGGACAGCAGTGCCAAAGCAGATTACATATTCTAATCCCAGAATAATGCATTCTTTTACATAAATTGGTGCAAAATTCAATCAAATCTTTATCTAGGACATGCATCATTATTACTAAAATACAGAGAAAAGTGCTAATGATTTAAATAGGAGCCTTAAAGAGATATAATACCATTAAAAAGTTTGGGGTCAGTAAGACTTTTGAAAAAATAATACTTTTATTCAGCAAGGGCGCATTAAATTGATCAAAAGGGACAGTACAGAAATGTATACTGTTACAAAATATTTCAATTTCAAATAAACGCTGTCCTTTATTACTTTTCTATTAACCAAAGAGCCCTGAAAAAAAAAAATGTATCACGATTTCCACAAAAATAATAAGCAGCTCAACTGTTTTCAACATCAATAATAATAATAATGTTTCTTTAAATCAGCGTATTAGAATGATTTTTGAAGGATCATGTGACACTGAAGACTGGAGTAATGATGCTGAAAATTCAGCTTTGACATCACAGGAATTACATTTTAAGTAAATAGAAAATGGTTATTCTAAGCTGTAAACCTTTTTTAAACAATATTACTGTTTTGCTGTATTTTTGATTAAATAAATGTAGCCTTGGTGAACATAAATGAATGTTTTTGAAATAAATCTCTTATCTCACCAACCTCAAAGTTTTGTACTAATTCTGTCATTATTTACTCACTCTCAATTCATTTTAAACATATATTACTGTCTTAATCAGGCCCGCCGACAGGGGGGGACAAACGGGTCTGTTGTCCCGGGCCCAGGGTAGTGGGGGGGCCCAGAACTGGGCCCTCATTTAATTATGGAATATTTGTTAAAAAATAAATAAAATAGCCATATTTGTGGAAAAAAAATCTAATATTTGAGTTACATAAAATCTTTTTATTTGTTTTCTTCCTAATTGTCCTTGAAATAGTGGTCAAGAACCCCCCCCCCCCACCCCCCCCCCCACCCACCCACCCAAAACAAAAATGGTTTGGCCACTGATCAAAATTTGATGTTGTCATTTGATTTGAAGTTCAGTAGGCTAACGTTACGCTCAAAATGTCCGGTCAGCACAAGTCCGGTGCTCAGAAAAGAAAAGAAATGAGAAGAAAATAGAGGCCTTTGAGATGTCCTAAACAAATATTTTTAAAAAGGTGGTGACGGTGAAGCTGGAACTAACGTTAGTAAAGTCAACGTAGAGCAAGGTAAGAAACAGCGCAGCCAACGTCTATGAGTGTTGTCAAAGACCCGGTACTTCGGTACCAAGTCGGTACTAATTTTTTTTTAAACGTCACGCCACGGTACCAGGTTTTCTCAAACCCGGTACTTGATGCGCGTGCATGCTCAAAGCGCGTTTAGTTGCGTCCTCTTCATAAAAGCGCTGAGACATGGCGACCGGCGGTGCTGCTGATGGTGGCTGTAAATCCACTTGTTGATAAGAAAGGAGGAAAGAGCCACATATGGAAATATTTTGGATATTAGCTCATAATAGCCACGCGGCGCGCTCGTTTTTACAGGCGCGCTTAAGTTCATTGTTGCATAGCAACGACAGACGCCACGGGAGAGCAAGCGCTTGTGGAAAGGAGAAAGCGGTGCAAACTGCGCTCCTCATGATGATGAGGAAGTATTAGCAAAGAATTCATTGATTTCTAGCCCTTGCATTAGCTTTACTACTAGATATATTTATGGAGATGAGAAATAAAAAGCCGGCTGAAATGCGTCACTGTCATCATCGGTGAACAGATAATGGGTCAGATCCGAGTCTATTTTTGCTGCTGCTCATGCTTAATTAAAAGTGAAAGCACACTTTTGATGGACAAAAAATAAATATGATTTTACACAAAAAGTGCCCAAAATGCACAGATTTTGCATGTCTAGTGTGTTTTAACAAGAACTGCAGTAAGCTATGTCAGAAAAGAAAATGAAGACATTTATAGAAAATGTACCCATTTAAACGTGTTTTTATTATTCAGTTTGGCTAAAAGTATATGGTGTTTTATAAAAAATATAAAAAATCGTGGGGGGTGGGGGCCCATCTAAGATGATCTTGTCCCGGGCCCAGGCAAGACTGTCAGCTGGCCTGGTCTTAATTATGACAGAAATTATGAAAAAAATTAAGTTAAGCTATTAAATTAAGAAATAATGCAGTCTTAGAAATACAGCTTTAAAAGGTTATCTTCACACAGGCTTTTAGTAAAGATTGGGAAACAAGGGGTTAAACTTACATGAGTCTCTTTGCTTAGAAAGTTCAGACCATTTTGATTGACAGCCAGTACACACGGGGTGTTGATAGCACCGTTGCTGCTGCTCTGTATGTAGAAGAATGATGAGCCAAACATGGGAAAAGCACTCACAAGCCCTGAAACAGAAACACGAGTACAACAATCAGCCTTTTGAATAAATGGCTGCGTGCCTCCACATTGGCTGTTCTCCTAAGTCAACACCTCACCCAAAAATTGTGCTTTGGCCTGATGAGGACTGAGGGCCTGCACCTGCTGCATATGCTGGTTTACCATGTTTAACCACTGCTGGGGCCTCTGGAGACCAAAGAGCTGGGTGGGAATACACTCCTGAACCTCATGGCTGATGGCAAAGAACAAGAGAAAGTTGGTCTATAAATGAGGTGTCAAACTTAAATGACCTCAGGTACACTAGCCAGGTGATTTTCTCCATCAGGGGCCAGCAGAACAATCACAATAAACACAAGTGTTTTTACAATCACAAGTTTTACCTCTCTAGAATTGACACAGTAATTAATATGTAGACAGACATCTTCTTCAGAGTGAATAATTTCTCGCTTGTACCTAGTAATGATACCTGGGATTGAATACCTCGACAACTACAATTTTCTGCTTGGAGATCAGGCAGTTATGCTAAATGGTCAGTGTGTGTACACAACTGTTCAAAGTTTGGGGGTCAATGTTTTTGAAGTCTCTTCTGTTCACCAAGGCTGCATTTATTCGATCAAAAATACAGTAAAAACAGTAAAATTGTGAAATATGATCACAATTGAAAATATCTGTTTTCTATGTTGATATATTTTAAAATGTAATTTAATGCTGTGTGTCAAAGCTGAGTTTTCAGCATCATTACTCCAGTCATCAGTGTCACATGATCCTTCAGAAATCATTCATATATGCTGGTTTTCTGCTTAAGAAACATCTTTTTGATTATCAACGTATCTATGTTAAAAGTTTTGTGCAACCGTAACAAATTTGTTCAAAAAATGTTTATGAATGTAAAGGTCAAAAGAACAGAACTCTTTTGTACAATTATAAATGTCTATAATGTCACTTGTAAATGTGACATTTTTTAGCTTTTGACGAATACATAAGATTTCAGTTCTTCCTCTGGTTGATAAATTCAGTGCGTGACGCCAGATCAATGGCATTACATGGACGGCAGGTAGAGCGAGTCCTTGGCACGATGTTGCAGGGCTGCCAGTTTTGACACTTGCTGAAGCTGCTGCTCACTGGCCTTACCCTGTGGGACAACATTGAGCAGCCCTTTCAAGTAGTCAGGGGACACCTGCAAAATATGAATGAAGATCAGATTAGTAGCCTGAACAGCGATAACTTAGATCAAAACAAGAACAAATGCCTTAGATCTTTGTAACTTATGAAATAAGCAGCACAAAACATGAAAGGAATGTCTGGGAAATTGAATCAGTCTGACTGATGTACCTGATTGTAATGCATAGTGACTCCGAGCTCGTTGTCAAACTTTAGTGGCTGCGTCCATATCACTCTTCGAAACCACAGACTGTAGTTGCTATCAACGTGTTCAGCCTCTGTAGCAATATCCAAGATGTACTCCCTTTTGTTTAGAGGCCGGACATTCTGACCTGGAGAAAGGGTGACAACACATGAGAAAACAGCTTGTATTACTCGTATCATCTCTACCATCTCAGCTACTGAAAACAATCAGCGGCAAATTATTTGAACAATGTGTTATTTTTCCTTTTTGTCATCTCACCTCTGTTTGTGACAACAAATATAGCATATTCATCCAAGGCCTCAAGTTTATGCAGACCCATCTCATAGCACAGCTCTTCAATGGCATCCAGAGCCACCTTCAAAGTAACAAGAGTGAATTAGAATCCAACGTTTCCTACTAAATGAATATGATTGGCCAAGCTGCAATAAATATCACAGAGGCAACTTACTGAGCAGGTTTTGATCTTTAGGTGGCGTTCAATTCCACCAGGAAGCAGAAACAACTGGCGCTTGGAGCTCCTTCCAGCCTTGAAAACAATTGTGCATAATTAAGCACAGATTGGTGAAAATGTGACTGAAATTAGCATTGAAATTTGCTTATGTGCAACTAACCAGCATAGCTTTCAACTCCATCCCATTGGGATGCTCAACACGTCCACCGTATTGGAACGTCTTCCTTAGGTTCTGCTCACAAGCCTTGGCAATGCCTATCAACATATCGTGTTAATTTGTAATCGTCAGTTAATATGTAATCAGTGTGATTTGTGTAATTGTAACATGTAGGCAAATTACCTTGAAAGTGCACCCCAGGACTTGCACAGACATCCTGAAGGTGTTTAAGCAGGTAAGGTTTAAGCGCCTCTGAACACTTGTAGTATGCAGTGAGGATGTACAGCAGCCTCCAGCCCCTCTGACAACTCTCCCTGCAAAACACAGCAAAGATCATCTGTTACTCTGCTTGGCACATTACAATGAGTCCTACATGGTTCGCTCATTCAGAAAAAAAGCAAGCTTATACGTCTTGGAGCTGGTGTTTCCAGTGATCTGCTTGAGGACTTGGCAGTACGCTTCATCCTTCATTAATCCATATTCGCCACTCAACTGCAACAGAGATTGGGCTTATATCACAGTGGGATTGAAGACATTAAGCACATTCCTGTCTGGTATCTTAATATTTCATGATGACAAGGCATGTTGGGCTATTTAAAGAGTTGTATACCCTTAGGATGGTGCTGACAACGTCCTGCTCGGCCTGACCTTTCATTGGGTAGTCTCCCATAAACTTCATTATAGCTGAAGGATAATCATGATTGAAGTCGTATTAGATGGTAAACATAAAAAATAATAAAAATGGATGACAGAAGAAAAAATCTGTCACTTAATTTGTAACATTCTGCTTACCAAGAAAAATCTCTCCAGCTACTCTGTTCATATTTTCATCAGTGAACTCGATCAGGGACTCTTGAATTGGTGACTAAAAAAACAAAGCAAAAATCAATTAGAATATGCATAAAAAAAGCTTCATACAATATATCAACCATGTTTATTATTATTATTATTATTATATAAAGGTATATTAAAATCATATAAAATGTATTTAAAGTAAGCACTGATTATATTCACCCTAGATCCCCAATGTACAATTCATTAATGAATCATTCTTTGAAATGGTTCTATTCACTGAATGATCCAATTTTAGCGAATATTTAACCCTCATGTGGTGTTCGGGTCAATTTGACCCGGAGAAGAATTTCTTTTTCCCGAAAATACTAGTTAATGTTATCGCTTTGGACTGAAACTTAGTGACTTTGTTCCCAAACGGTTTAACTAAATCTCAGGGTTTTTTTGAAAAATTTCTTATTTTTTTGTGGGAGTTTTGTTACATTGTTACACTTGTGGTGTTCCCGGTCAAAAATGACCGGCCTATAAAAAATAGCTTATAAGTCACTCATTATACCATATTTTCACCCAATCTTGGATTCAATCTTTTTGTGAACTTGTTCTCTTTCAATTAGGACTGGTTTTATATTTCTGTTTGCATCTGATTAATCGGGGGCCTCATTTATCTGAAAGTAGGCATCTCATTTTGTGAGTAAAAAACAAATAATTTATGAGTAAATTTGGAAATATGAAAAAAAAAAATGAAAAAAATGGCTACTGTTGATCACACTAGTCTACTCTAATGTTTCACCAGGAATTTTGTTTTGAAACTTTTGTTTTGTAAAAAATATGGCACATAGTCACACTTGTGGTGTTCCCGGTCAAAAATGACCGGCCTATAAAAAATAGCTTATAAATCACTCATTATACCATATTTTCACCCAATCTTGGATTCAATCTTTTTGTCAACTTGTTCTCTTTCAATTAGGACTGGTTTTATATTTCTGTTTGCATCTGATTAATCGTGGGCCTCATTTATCTGAGAGTGAGCATCTAATTTTTTTAGTAAAAAACAAATAATTTATGAGTAAATTTGGAAATATGAAAAAAAATATGAAAAAAATGGCTACTGTTAATCACACTAGTCTACTCTAATGTTTCACCGGGAATTTTGTTTTGAAACTTTTGTTTTGTAAAAAATATGGCACATAGTCACACTTGAGATGTTCCCGGTCAAAAATGACCGGCCTATAAAAAATAGCTTATAAATCACTTATAATACCATATTTTCACCCAATCTTGGATTCAATCTTTTTGTCAACTTGTTCTCTTTCAATTAGGACTGGTTTTATATTTCTGTTTGCATCTGATTAATCGTGGGCCTCATTTATCTGAGAGTAGGCATGGTCAAAAATGGTCACAATGGCCGACCATTGAAAGTGAATGGGAGAGACTGAAAATAACAGAACAATTTAGTTTTCAGGAGCATGTTCATTATTTTCATGTACACATATGAGCATGTGTGCTTGCAAACATCGAGCCTTTGGACCTGTGCATGTATCGATACATTTATACACACGCTACCCAGACACACACGTTAAAACACACAAACTTTTTTGAGTATTACACACATTCTTTTCCACAGAGAGAAATTTGATTCTACCCTAACCTGCATCTAATATACATTTATCCATCTGACATTACCACACACACACACACACACACACACACACGCACACACACGCATACACACGCGCACACACACACACACACACACACAAACTGGCCGTGACTGCAGTGACCCGGCTTCAAAAGAATCTTTCTTTCATGGTCTTGTTTCATCACAGCTTCCAGACAAAATATTATGACATTTTGTTTTGGAACTGTGAGGTTCTCACACAGAACTAGACAATATTTACAAATATACATCATGTGATAGCACAGGCATATATAAAATGCCTCACAGCACCTTGCTTGTCATTCATTTGTGGCAGCACAATGGCAAAACAGCTCTGCACATGATGTTATTCATCAGATTTTTTACTCAGAAACTAGTGAGGAGGAGGAAATGCAGGATGCATCTTGCAGTGAAGATGTTTCTGAAGAGGAAGGCCTTCAGAAGAAAACCTGCCTTGCCTCATAGGTGGGGATGAAGGCCAGGACAAAGTTCCATCTTTTGACCAGAATGAAACGGTAACCTCAGCTGGGCCCTCATCACTGGAAGACTGCTCCTCATCAGTTGTTTCAAGCTCCGTAGCCGATTCAGTGGTGCCTTCCTCTTCAGAAACATCTTCACTGCAAGATGCATCCTGAATTTCCTCCTCCTCACTAGTTTCTGAGTCAAAAATCTGATCACGGCCTGTGTGTGTGTGTGTGTGTGGTAATGTCAGATGGATAAATGTATATTAGATGCAGGTTAGGGTAGGATCAAATTTCTCTCTGTGGAAAAGAATGTGTGTAATATTTAAAAAAGTTTGTGTGTTTTAACGTGTGTGTGTCTGGATAGCGTGTGTATAAATGTATCGATACATGCACAGGTCCAAGGGCTCGATGTTTGCAAGCACACATGCTCATATGTGTACATGAAAATAATGAACATGCTCCTGAAAACTAAATTGTTCTGTTATTTTCAGTCTCTCCCATTCACTTTCAATGGTCGGCCATTGTGACCATTTTTGACCATGCCTACTCTCAGATAAATGAGGCCCACGATTAATCAGATGCAAACAGAAATATAAAACCAGTCCTAATTGAAAGAGAACAAGTTGACAAAAAGATTGAATCCAAGATTGGGTGAAAATAAGGTATAATGAGTGACTTATAAGCTATTTTTTATAGGCCGGTCATTTTTGACCGGGAACACCACAAGTGTGACTATGAGCCATATTTTTTACAAAACAAAAGTTTCAAAACAAAATTCCTGGTGAAACATTAGAGTAGACTAGTGTGATCAACAGTAGCCATTTTTTTCATTTTTTTTTTTCATATTTCCAAATTTACTCATAAATTATTTGTTTTTTACTCAAAAAATGAGATGCCTACTCTCAGACAAATGAGGCCCCCGATTAATCAGATGCAAACAGAAATATAAAACCAGTCCTAATTGAAAGAGAACAAGTTGACAAAAAGATTGAATCCAAGATTGGGTGAAAATATGGTATAATGAGTGACTTATAAGCTATTTTTTATAGGCCGGTCATTTTTGACCGGGAACACCACAAGTGTGACTATGAGCCATATTTTTTACAAAACAAAAGTTTCAAAACAAAATTCCTGGTGAAACATTAGAGTAGACTAGTGTGATCAACAGTAGCCATTTTTTTCATTTTTTTTTTTTCATATTTCCAAATTTACTCATAAATTATTTGTTTTTTACTCAAAAAATGAGATGCCTACTCTCAGACAAATGAGGCCCCCGATTAATCAGATGCAAACAGAAATATAAAACCAGTCCTAATTGAAAGAGAACAAGTTGACAAAAAGATTGAATCCAAGATTGGGTGAAAATATGGTATAATGAGTGACTTATAAGCTATTTTTTATAGGCCGGTCATTTTTGACCGGGAACACCACAAGTGTGACTATGTGCCATATTTTTTACAAAACAAAAGTATCAAAACAAAATTCCTGGTGAAAATGTTAAGTTGACTAGTGTGATCAACAGTACCAATTTTCTTCAGATTTTATTTAATATTTCCAAAATTATTCAATTTTTTTTAAAAAATTACTCAAAAAATGAAATGCCTACTCTCAAATAAATGAGGCCTATGATTATTCAGATGCAAATCAAAATATAAAACCAGTCCTAATTGAAAGAGAACATGTTGACAAAAAGATTGAATCCAAGATTGGGTGAAAATATGGTATAATGAGTGATTTATAAGGTTTTTTTTATGGCCCGGTCATTTTTGACCGGGAACACCACAGGTGTTATAGGGTTTTGAACACCACATGAGGGTTAATTAAATTGTTCCTCACACAAAGCTATCATATGACTTCAGTAGACTTGAAATATAGTGCACAAGATGCATGTGCTACTTTTATGATACTTTTATGGTTTTTAAAGCTGAAAAGCCTCAATATCTGTTCATTAAATTACACGATGAATCATGACAGTATACTAATTTTAAATGAACTATATTCTTTTAAAAACCTCAATGTTTCAAAATTGATGGTATGGTGTGTATTCTGTACCTTGGAAAATTTCACCATTTCTGATGGTTCTCTGGATTCCTTTGTCTTCTTTGACTTTTTCTTATATGAATCACTGCAAAATCCAAGCATATGTCAGTATATCTATTATTTTTTCTTAATTCAGCTATGCAACTGTGAGAACTTGAGCTCGCAATGCCCCATGATGTAATCAACAGACCCGTTGTTTCTCTGGGCCCCTCTGAAATATTTCTTGGCAAACTCCACCATGTTGTATTGGCTGTCCTGAAAGATTCTCTCATCGATGTCCATATCAGCACTGTCTGTAAAGGCCTCTGCATACTCACTGACAGGAGACGCCACCTAGAGGTTTGATGCAGTGACACAACGGCTCTCAGAATGATCTATGTTACATATAAATCAGGATTTACATGCCCGTGAAGCACATATACCTCAATGGACCGGCCCAGTTCATGGGCCGCGGCAGCGGACCCCACAGCTACAGCCACAGCGGCCGAGGCGGCCACGCGCCCCTGCTTATTCTTGGGTTCCTCTTTCTTGTCCACAGGAATGCTAATGAAGTCAGGAGCAGCCACTGGCTGTACAAACTCCACAGGAAAAACCCCAGATCGCCCATGAATGGCCCCAAACTTCCAGCCTTTGCACAAAACAAGACATGGTGAGTGAAAATTTGCGTGTGATGGTAGTATGACATTTTAAGATTGGAGAAGTGCCTGTATAAAAAGCATCAGTGAAACCATCATGCAAAGAGAAGGAAGGCCATTTCTATACATGCAACTAGGGATGCATAAATTCAGATAAATCTGCAAACCAGAAATTCAACTGTAATGGCACTGCTAAGTGCAGAACAGTTACACAGCACATCAAGAAACCCCTAAAAAAAGCACTCCATGCAGGTTCCACGCATGACCCACCAAAATCAGGTGTGTCTCTTTTTAACTCCTCCAGGAGAATCACCTTCTTTTTCACTATGCAACCATAACACTGGCCTGTGAAACAGCCACAGAGCCAGCAGTCAAAGTTATGGCTTAGGTGAACAAGTTTTACCCTTTTACAATACTATTTAGCAATCTTTAAAAGTTTGGGGTCAGTACATTAAGGACACATTAAATTCTTCATAACGACAGTTGACAATCACTGGAAACAGGATGTATGCAGGCATGTAGGTCAATGAAAAGATTTTCAAAATTATTAAGAAAAAAGTAACAATTACCTAGTAAAATTAAAGTAATCTATTATTTATCTAGTATATGCATATTCCAGTTTATTTGTGTAAAATATGAAATGAAAATGAAAAGAGGTTTATTTCATTCTTTTAAAACATGTTCATCATGGAACAACTTCATCAAGTTGTTTTATGTATAAAAAAGCAGTTTATTTTTTAACATTTTTTCAACAAATAAACAGATTACATTATTGACTTTCAAGTGTTATATTTCAAAGCTGATATCCTAATTATTTAGGCTCTTTTTTCCCCCAAATATGAAGAGTAATGTAAGGTATTCATGACCACTTTTGGTTTAAAGCAGTCTCACCTGCATCCATGCCTTCCATTTTCTGCAAGCGTATGATGTCTCCCTTGTGGAAACTCAGCAGCGTTCTGTCATCTGTAATGTAATTACGCACAGCAACGACATAGTCTGAGTCCTAGAGCGAGAGACAGAGAGCGCAATTAACACGCCGCACTACAGCCAATCATCCCCGGAGTGAATCTATGTATGAGGGAACTGACCTTTTTCAGCTCTGTGATAAAGTAGTCAATCATAGTTTTAACCTGAGGAGCTTTGGCAGAGAACAGAATCAGTTTCTCATTGGTGAGGTTGAACTCCAGCATGTTTTTGGAAGGAATGGTGACGAACATGATGTCTGTATAGCTGTAAGAGGTTAATAAAGATCATAACAACAAGGAATATTTATGATGGTGATGGTGGTACTGTATCATTAATTAAACTCATAAAAAATACGAATTCATTAAAAACAATGACAAAACACAGACATTAAAAGCCTCAGCAACTGGTACCTGTAGGGTCGTAGAACTCTGAAGTAGTCTGGGGCTACTGCACTGCTCCTGACCATTTTTAAAAGCTTGATTCCTCTATGAGATACAGACAGCACCTGGACCCCTGTGCCAACACTGCCCTGTTCAGGACAAGAACAGGAAGATATTCTCTTTTAGGCTTATCTAGTTCAGTAATGTAACTCTAGATGGCGCATGCTAATAGGTCCTTTACATGCAATCTGCAAGCAATAACACACCATTACCACATGGCACAAGCTGATTCCATCTCATTGCAGTTTGTGCAACTGGTTCAGTGTTTACTGTTTGCTAGTCCTGCAGCATGCTATCAGTTCCTCTAAAACCCTCCACCTCCCCCAGCTCCACCTGCCTAGATCTAGATTTATGTAAGGCCCCGTCCACACTACTGCGTTTTCATTTAAAAACGGAGACCTTTTGCTACGTTTGCGCCTCCCGTCCACACTAAAACGGCAAAAACGGAGACCCAAAACGGAGAAGTTTAGAAACGCTGCCGATCCGTTTTTCGTTTTGAATCTCCGGAGGGCGTTTTAGTGTAGACGGGTCAAAACGGAGGACTTTAGAAACGATGACGTAGAAGAGGCTCACGCTCGTCTCTATGATTGGGTGTCATCAGTCATGGCGTATATCTTTGCTAGCAGCTGTTGTACAAGTAAATTCTGCATTTTACAACGCTATAACTGCCTACATGCGCCGGAGTCAAGCTATTATTCGAGCGATCTGTGACAATTCCCGTGTGCAGCGGCGGCGTTGACCGTACATGGAGCGTCGGTTTGGGGTTAACCTAGAGCATGGTGGGATAATTTTATCAATGAAGTTGTGTTTACACCGGCACGCGCATGCCCAGTGTTGGTGAATGGTCACGTGATCCGCGTTTTCAGTCGTTTTAATGTGGACGGAGATCAATTCTAATACGCAGCTAAAATGCTGGTGTGGACGGAGATCGTATTCGTTTTAATTATCCGTTTCTAAACCAAAATGCAGTAGTGTGGATGGGGCCTAAGTCTATTCATGCAGCAGCAGCAGCAGCACATCTTACATGCTCACAGCAGCGTCTCTGTGTATCTATTAGCAAGTCCATACTTGTTCTGCAGCAGAAGCAGCAATAATCATCTGCAGCAGCGTAGCAGATTTAGGGGCATATTTATTAAACAGGGCAAATTAGCGAGAGAGCACAATTCCAAAACAGTGCAGATGGGAGTGGAAAGTTCTGCGCGTGACCTACTGACGACGCACAAATTAAAGAGCACAGATCATTTCCATAATGACCAACGCAATCTACCAGGTAGCGTCTAGTTTAAGAGGTGCTTTGTTTGGGCGATAAATAATGGTGCAAACCTTAGTAAATCACCTTGCGTGATTCATTTAAATACTCTTCTCCCAGAAATGTAGCGCCTGAAAGGGAAACTCCTACAAATGTATATGCAATAAGGCAATAACTGTGCAAAAAGGTCAGACGCAAAAATAACTGTGTCCACGCCTTTTCAGTGCTAATTTTTCACTGCGTGTCTTTAGTAAATCCTGACAGTAGTTTTTTAACGACAAAAGAGGGTTTGCGCTGGTGCAAGCTGTTAGTAAATCTGGCCCTTAATCCGCCAAAACCAAATACATGAGCATTGCCATATAATTAAAATGCCAAAACTACTCTGAGAGTTGTCATGATTAAAATAGCATTATGAAGCAACACATGCCCGCTGAAAACATTAGAATACATTATGATGTGTTTTGGATGCTGACGTGCCAGATATGGCAGTAATTTCACAATTTACATTTTGTGAACAGTGTGCTATGCAGAGCCACCAGAAAAAAACAGCCCTGACCAACATAAACCAGCCTGGACCAGCACTGAACTTCAGGCTGGTCCACGCAGGTCTTTTCAGCAGGGATAATCTGAGAGAGATTCCTTACAGATGCTGGGAAGAGGCGTGAGAAGTAGATCTCCCAGGTGTCTCTTGCGGCAACCACAATCTTCTTCTTCGCATTTTCATCCTGGATTGTGGCATTGATGTCAACGTTTTGCTCCACTGTCACAAAATAGAAGCCAAAATTTTCCTACCCACAAGCAAAGTTCACTTATCACAAGAGGAAAATGTGTATGTAAGACTTAAGTGAAACATGAATCATACCAAAAAGGGATTTCATCTTCTGCCTTTCTTCTGTTGTAATGCGAATGCAAGCCTCTGAGAATGTGTCATGGACAATCTGAAAGTTTCATTATAATTACGGTTAATAAAAGTAAAAACAATCACAAATGTAATCACATTCAAAAGTTTGGGGTCAGTAAGATTTGCTACAAGAGATTTCTATTTCAAATAAATGCTGTCCTTTTGAACTTTCTATTCATTAAAGAATCCTGAAAAAAAATGTGTTACAGTTTCCACAAAAATATTAAGAAACTGTTTAAACATTGATAATAATAAGAAATGTTTCCTGAGCACCAAATCAGCATATTAGATTGATTTCTGAAGGATCATGTGACACTGAATTACATATTAAATTGGAAAACAGTTATTTTAAATTAGAATACTGTAATTTTTCACAATCTTACTGTTTGTACTGTATTTTTTTTATCAAATAAATCTGACTTTGTGAGCATAAGAACAAAAAAAAAAAAAAATTCCAAACCTGCTTAAACAAGAGGTCTAGTATCAGCGGGTGGTTGAAGCTGTCTTTCGGATAAAAAACCTAAAACCACATGAAAGTATTTTTTAATGTTTCATAATTATTTCCATATTTTAGCGCAACAGCACTGTGTCCCATTGACCCAATACAAAACAAATGACACTAGCCTCTTTCCTCAGGTAGATTTTCCAGGGTACATTGGTGTAGGTGTAGTGCTCTTCACTGCTCCTCTTGTGCAGCTGAGTCTGAATATTCTCCTCTTCTACTGGAAGTTCTCTAGATACTGTAATGTGACACACCACAGCGACGTTATAGCCATGCTAATATGGTTTCTATATCTAAATGAAATGACATAGATGATCTGAGTTTACCAGGAGCAGGAGCTGGGAATCTCTGACTAACAGCTGGCACAGGAGGTGATCGCTTCGTCTTTATGCTTTTTGCTGGTTTTAGTGCCCCATGGTGGTCATAATCAAACTCCTTTGCAGATGACGAAGGAGAAACTGGAGTGTAGGTTTTCTTTTGCTGATAGTTTGGGGCATGAACACATCAGCTTTAACCGCAATGATAATGTTAAAGCCCACTGATAATACTTTATATCACGTTAACTCACATGACTTTAACACTGTCAGTTTATCTGTAATTGAACTATGACTGATCTACCTGTGAAGGTGGAGCACTCATCTGGTCCTTAAGAATCAATATAGCTTCGTCATGGGGGTCTGGTTTCCTCAAAAACACTTTAGCTTCCCTCCTGTATTGAAGACCAGTGAAGTTAGAGCTTTAGCCTTTGTTCTGTTCTACTTTAATGATCTCTTTTGATTAATATTTTATTAATGTTTTGTTATAAGGTCTAGGAGAACATTGGTTTGCTGTGTCTCAGTTTTCAGTTCAGGTCATTCATTATTAATGAATGTGGAACTGCCGCTCAGATCTAAATATGTTCAGGTCTCATTCTCACCTGGGAAACTCAGCTGGTTTTACAGGGTTAGTCTGGTACTGCCTGATAATATCTTTGATGTTGTGACTTGGCTCTAAGTGTTCTGTGTTTGAGATAGTGCCTCTCACCAAGTCCCCCGCTGGTGGATCCCTCCTAGTTGGGCCTTTTGGAAACATAGCAAAACACTGATGAAATGGTAACACTTTACAATAAGTTTCCATTTGTTAACATTAGTTAACATGAACTAACAATGAAAAACATTTGTAAAGAATTTGTTAATCTTAGTTATAGATTATTAAAATAAAAAAATAAAAAAATATGTCTCTGTTAATATTATTTAATGCACCAGAGCTAACAAAGAACAGTTAACTAACGTTAACCAAAAAAAAAAAAAACTGTCACAAATGTATTGCTCATTGTTGGCTAATGTTAGTTAATGCATTAACTAATAGAACCTTATTGTAAAGTGTTACCTATGAAATAATAATTTTAATAAGTGAAATTAAGCATGAGGCATACAGATTGAAATAATGACGTACTATACTGTCTCTGTGAAGGTTTCTGTGGTGGGGAAGCAGGGGTTGGTTTGTAGGAAACAGGTCCAGTTTCTTGTTTAGTCTTCAAATAAGATACATGACCAACAACAGCTTTTTTTTATGTATCAACTGTTCAATAGTATGTTTTGAGGAAAAAAAATCAACCACCATTCAAAAGTTTGGGGTCAGTAAGTTTTTTTAAAGGGGTCATATAATGCCATTTTTGTACAAGCTAATATGATTCTTTAGGGTCTAAATTAAAAGTTTGTAATATACTTTAATTAAAAATTCTCATTAGTATTGTAAGAAAACACTAATTTTACCTGGTCAAAAACAGCTCTGTTTTCAGCACGCCGTTTCAGTGCATATGACTTTAAATGATCATGAGCTTTGCTGACTCCGCCCCTCTGTTCTATGCGTACACCAGAGCTCTGGCGTACACCATTTGTAACTCAATAACCATAACGCGTTGTTCAGTATAAACGTGGGATTATGAATTATATTGAGAACGTCATACATAGAAAACATGCCGTAATGTACCCTAAGTGTAAACCTTAGACGCATTCATTGTGAAGCGTGCAGCTAGCGATTTGCAAAGATTAATATATTAATATAAAGTTTAATAAAACGTTACACTCACTTCCGTTCTTCTGGAGATTCAGCAGGAACACGAATATCTGGTAGCAGCTACCGATCCATTTTTCATGAGCAGCAGCTTAGCAAATCCAGCTTTATACTGATCCTCGTCTATAAAGCAGTCTGGTCAGAAATGATTCGCGCAAACATGAACGCATTGACGTTGCTCGTGGGGAATATTCCCTTCGAAAACAAACACAGCCACTGTGTCTTCAGCGGTTCGGATTTAGGAACATTAAAATGACTGCTGTGTTCGTTATTACACCCAAGAACAGATCACCACAATCGCTTAGACGCCATTCTGCTCATAGACAGTGCTCCAGCATATCAACAATTAGCCGCGTTTCCACTGCCGGGCCAGGGCCAGGCCGTGCTAGTGCGTGCCAGGGCCAGTCGCGTTTCCACTGTCACTTCCGGGGCTTGATCGGGGCTTACTCGGGGCCAACGGCCAGGATTTCTGGCCCGTCGAATACCTTGGGCCAAAGCGGGCCAGCTCGGGCTAGAGGAGTGGTTACGAACAGAGGCGGGGATTACCTGAGTCGAGAGACAGCGCCGATGGATTCTGTCAGCATTAAAGACTTTTAAAATAATTTAACTCACTTTCATGTTTTAATGCCTTCTGTTTGTGATCCGATGTGGATTCTGATCACCGTATAAGGTAGAAATATTTATACGCGATGCAAAAGACTATGCGCGCTAACCATTACCATAGTAAACATAGTAAACGTTTGAAGATACGCATAGTAAAAAAACATGGTGAACGCTTGAAGAAGTCAGACCATTCATAAAGGCTATCACAATCATGTTTTTATTTTATCTGTCAGTAGCCTACATATACTAGTCTCTTTATACCGGACTATCTACTTTTTTTTCGGGAGCTTCCTGTTTCTCTGACTGAAAATATATCTGTAGCTACTGGGAGTCGAGACTGTGCTAACGCTCCTCAGGTCATATTTTTGGTGGCATATAACATTATTTGTAGAAATTATCATTCTTTCTAAATGTGATATATGTCCTGTAACTACCAAATAAACAGAAACAGCCTCGACTGAATAATGTAAGTGTGTCCTCTTTCTTTTTTGAAATAGACCTAACGGTCGTTTATTTCTGTGTGACTAATGTGCAATTTTGACATAAATTAATTCATTATGATCAATGTATCACTTTTTATTGTAAACCTGTGGTAAAACATCGATGCTTGGGTTTTAAATATTCAAGTAAACAACAAAAATGCCAGCAAACGGGCGCTTTTATCATGTTTGTTTTGCGATGCACGCTGTTTCCAGTGATTTCTTTCTGATTAGTTTTCTGATAAAACTTCCATTTGTTGGTGAAATGATGGGTTAGTGTGACGTTGTTCCAGAGAGGCGTGTTGCGGGCGTGTTTTAGTGACGCGCTGTGGAGCTTCTGGCCCGACAGTGGAAACGCAGGCCAGGTGCTACTGGCCCGAGGCTATTAGCCCGGCACGGCCCGTTTAAAGCCCTGGCCTAGCACTGGCCCGACAGTGGAAACGCGGCTAATGACCGCGCAGACTATGATTGACAGCTCTCTCATGGAGCTGATCTCACCCGCGAGGGCGGGTCTGTGTTGAGACGCTCCTGTCAATCAACAATCGTGGGAGGGGCTTCCGAGCGTGTGACGTCACACGGTCGAACGGCTCGATTTGAGGCAGGGGAAAACATATAAGGAGATTAAAACAAAACCACTGGATGGATTTTTATCATTATATGATGGTTGTGTACAGACACTGCCAACACACATTTCAGTACAATCAACTTGTAAAAGTGCATGCACCATTATATGACCCCTTTAAAGAAATGAATACTCAGCATAGGTGCATTAAACTGATCGAAAGTGACAGAAAAGACATTTATAATGTTACAAAAGATTTTAATTTCAAATACATGCTGTTCTTTTGAACTTTATACAACTGTCGACATTTTAATTATTATTTGATTATTATAATAATAAAAATGTATCTTGAGCAGCAAATCATCATATTAGAATGCATCCATCATATACATTTTTGATATAAAAAATACACCCTTGTTGAGCATTTGAGACCTCTTTCTAAAACATATCTTACTGACCCCAATACTGTATGTGGAAATGTAAAGTTCTAATATGACGTCTATCTATGGCATTATAATAAAGCTTTGTCTTGATTTTTAATGATTTATCATCCATATAGTAATCAGTGCTCAGAGATACTCACAGGACTGTACTGGCTGGAGCGGGGAGCTGGCACATGCTCGCTGTGTGTGTGGTGCGCTGAATTATACATCTGCTGCTGAAGGGCCATGGCCTGCATTGTCATCTGCTGAGCCTGTCGTACATTACATTAGCTCGCTATTCAAACACATTTAGTATTTTGCTACAAGTCTAAGTCATGCTTTGTTTGCTCACCAATATAATCGCTTGCTGGTTGATGATGGCTTGCTGCTGCTGTGCTATGACAGCTGGATCTACACATTTAGAGATTTAAATAAGCACAAAATAAAGCGAATGTAATGACTGTGATTAGAACGCACAGAAATAAACAGTGCAGTGTTTAAACAATTATCCCAGAGAATCAAAAAGCGCCAAGCGGACTTATGCAGCATTCATACCTGACATATCAGGCATTGGTGGCACATTAGGCATAGCTGGCAAAGGTGGCATAGCAGGCAAGGCTGGCATAGAAGGCATAGCTGGCATTATGGGTACTGAAGGTACGGCGGTAGGGGCATGAGGCACAGAGGGCATAGCTGGCATAGGTATAGGTGGCATCATTGTTCCTCCCATAACAGGTAGAACTGGCACCGCTGAGAACAGTAAATATGGCTAAGGATCAGTAAGCAATGACCCCTGTCACATATCTTAATCAAATTATTTAATGCAAGTTGGCTAGGATTTTGAGGTCAGATGAAACCCAATTAGCTGTGCCAACCAACTAATTAAATAAACATGAACAATACTGCTTATAGTGAAATAAACACCTTGCAGCTTTTTCATATAAGAAATATTCTGTATTTTACTCATTTTAAAAATGTGACTTTTAAAGTGTTAAACAGTCTGATTAAATTGATTAATATATATATTATATTTTTTAGCTTGAGGTGTAAGTTAACACACCTCAATACATCACATATATATGTGTGTTACTGTTTAATTTGTTTAAAAAAAAAATAAGAATAAAGAATTAAATAAAGTTTCTGGCTTTTTGTTGATGTGATTAGAAAAACATAGCAAAAGTTGTCATCAGCTAGTTATTGTTAAGTATTTTTTTTACACATAAGTATATGAGGAACACGAATGGCACCCATTTTGTAATACCAATCACCAAAAGCCACAGTCAAAAACAAAACAAAAATCCCCAAAGCATTAAAGCAATCTACATGGTAAATTGGTTATTTATCATGCAAAGCATTGGTAAATGTGCAGTTTACAAAAATTAGCAATTCTGAATGTTTATCAGGCAATTAACTGCTTTTAGGTACAAATTGACCCTAGGGTACCCATGCATAATTGATGTGTGGTAAGAAGAGGACAGAAAGAGGACAGATGCAGAACTCACCACCAGGCTGCAGTCCGGGGGGATAAGGCCTGCTGGAGAGGGGCTTCACTATGTCACCATCCTCCCCTCCAATCCCACCAGCTCCCTTCATACGGCTGGACATGCTGGATGACTTCTCAAAATCCTGGAGAAGAGATAAGGCAAAGCAAAACAGGCTCTCAACTCAGGGCTGGACCCTTCCCAGCTCAGTCATACGAGAAATCAATCTCCCCATGGGAGTACCTTATACTCTCTAAGAGGGGCATATCCCATTTACTATCGCAACTGAGACAGAGCCATGCCAGCCTAGACCACAGGAGTCTGTTTTTCCCTTACCAGTCTAGGATCTTTAAGTGAGCATAAAAATATATATATTTCTTTTTAAACTAACTATTCCTTTGTGACTGAATAGGTTCCAGAGCTTATTTTTACAATTGTCCTCAAATATTTCTGTTTGCCAAAAATATATAAATCATTCCACTGCCATACCTCTACAAGTGTTTAAAAACACCAGATATTATCTCAAAATGATAAAACTAAGGGAAAAAATAAAGTATGCTCAATGCTGTGAGAAATACGGTAAACTGGTAACTTAATCACCTTCATTGCAGGGGACCTGGCAAACATAGAGCACATTGATACACTCAATCACTTACACTATGAGGATCAAGTGGCCAGTTGTGTTCTTCATGCATTCATGTTTAAGCTTCTTTCCATAAATACACTGATGAGCTAAAACATTATGATAAGTCACAAGTGAAGCAAACATCATTGATCATCTCCTAAAAAGACCACATATTAAGATCTGGGTAGATTAGATGGAAAGCAAACAATCAGTTCTCGTAATCAAAGTGTTGAATGCAGGAGAAATTGGCAGGGATAAAGATCTGAGCGATTTTGACAAGGGACAAATTGTTATGGCCAGACGAATGGGTCAGATCATCTCTGAAACGCTTGTGGGTTGCTCCCAGTCAGCAGTGGTGAGGATTTACCAACAGTGGTCCAAGGAGGGAAAAATCTGTGACAGGGGGTTGGGCGTCCAAGGGTCATTGATGCACGAGGGCAACGAAGGCTATCCCATCTGGTCCAAGCCAGAAGAAGGTCTTTGTTCTGCTGGGAAACCATGGGTACGGCCATTCATGTGAATGTAAATTTGACACATTGTTGCAGACCAGGTAGATGACAATGGTGTTCCCTGGTAGAAGTGGCCTCTTTCAGCAGGATAATGCACCTGCCACACTGCACATATTGTTCAGGAATTGTTTGAGGAACATGATGAAGAGTTCAAGGTGTTGCCCTGGCCTCCAAATTCCCCAGATCTCAATCCAACTCAATCCAGCACCTGTGGGATTTGCTGGACCAACAAATTTAATCCACGGTGGCTCCCCTCACAACCTACAGGACTCGAAGGATAGCGTCTTGGTGCCAGATACTACAGCACACCTTCAGGGGTCTTGTAGAGTCCATGCCTTGGCGGGTCAGTGGTGTTTTGGCAGCACACGGAGGACCAACAGCATAGTAGGCAGGTGGTCATAATGTGGCTCATCGGTGTAGTTAAACATCCAAATCATGTTGTTTCTATTACATTTACACTTGTTAAAAACTCATGAACTCTTGCTGAATTGGGGGAGTGAACAAGAGAAACTTACCCCATTACCATCAGACAGCACTGGGTCAAACAGGCTGTCGAGATATCTGTCCATGCCTTTCTGAGTTGGTGCTTCACTGAAGTCTGATTCTATTTTTTCACAGTTATTGAGAAAAAAACCCAGAAATCATGCCATTAGCATTGTACAGAATATATAAAAGTAGCTTAAAAGCTATAGCCAAAAAGAAGAAGAAGAAGAAGAAGAAGAAGAAGAAGAAAGAAACAGCTGACCGTGGCTGTAATACCCATCTGAATCTGGGAGACTGGTGCTCAGCATTGTCTGGGGGAGCAGAAGTGAGTTGTCGTCATCAGAATCAAATCCACTTCCAAACAGAGCCCTGTGAAAATTCATGTTGAGGGCAAAGTATTAGATGAAGACACTGCAAAAATATTTCCCCTGAAGTTAACTATACAATGTATTTTTTTGTTTATTTAAAACAAATAAATCATAAAGAAATATGCCATATGCATCACCTTACTAGGTGTCATTTTAAAGTTCAAATCAAAATCAGTCAGCAAAGAATTAACCAAATTTATTTTTTTATATTAATATTTACTATTTGTGCCTTAAAGGTGAAGTTTGTAATGTATGTGTCACCAGCGGCAATAAACAAAATTTAAAAATGACTGTGTTTAGCTATTTTCAAACACTCCCCGTCTCCCGGCCACTGTCAGTCATTAGTTTGGTGCCACAGAAATTAAACACTCACATTTAAATGACATGCAACGCAGATCTATTCAATTACAATTCATATTTATGATCATGTATCACATTAGTGGGCATAACCCATTTCCAATGTAAATAAAAGTCAAATAAAATGCAAGACTATCATGTAGATACTGACAGGCTGGCATTGGGCCTGGTTCTGATGGGACTCTCGGCGGAGATGATGAAGTAGGATTTTTGCTTTGGAAAATTTCTCATCAGTTCCATGTCTGCGATCAAGTCCATTACGTAATCGTGCCCTGCGAGCTCCGCCCACTGTCCGTGCTCCTTCATGACAACAGAGCACCCCTTCCAGGCCTCGTTCACACCCCTGTGGAGCCAATTAATGGGGCTATTCATTTCAGGCAAATTACAGATGAATAATGAAGGCCTCATTATAGACTGTACATATTCCAACATGCCCAAAAGAAAGAGCCATGAACTAATGACTTGGAATACAACATATTAAAAAGGTTCTTATGAAGATGAATGGATGGATGAATGCAAAATCAAAGATTGTGTGTTGGCTGACTCGAGGAAAGACTAGAGTGAAAATGGTTGGAACAAGCGATAGAACATAATATGGAGTTTGTGTACGGTCACATACCTGTGCTGTAGAATATCTCCAGCCAACTCCTCCCCACTCGTCCAGGAGTGCACAGGGCACAGGGAAGATGTCCCTGTCAATACAACATGACGTTTAACAGCTGTGGTTTGACAGGAGTGAAGACTACATGCAAATGACTTTTTCTATAGCACCACAGATCAGGTATCACCTGATATAGATGTGCATTACACAATTGTCTCCAGAGGGTTTTGAGGAACAAAAGAAACTGCCAGGCAGATTTAGGGAGATTATAGTAATGGAAGAGCCTTTCAGAGCTTTCTTTTAGTGTTTTGTGAGCTATCCTTTGTGTTTGTATCCTTATGTAAGTCTGCATATCTCTTTCATTCCAAACAAGGGCAAATATTCTCCTTTCGTATTGACATAAGCTGTTTCCATCACCGTTTTTGTGCACATTTTGAAGTATCACATCAGACACGAGTGATGGAAATGGCAAATTTCAAGGAAAAATATCTCTTAATTCGCAAAAAAAAGTTTTTACGCTCGCTTGAGGTGTTTTTTGACTTGTGCGGAAAAGAGTTAATGCGAATAATGGGAGATGGAAACACATTTGCCGAATAAATTCTTACGTGGCGAACATTAAACCCACGCCACTAATCGGCTGTTTCCGCTGATGGTGTATTATTTACTGTTGGTTACTAGGTTAGCAATACCACCGTCATTCGCTCGAACTACTTGATGGAAACGCACCTAATTCGCATTTGTTTTTTTGCGAACTTTGAAAAGATTCGCTTCACGTTTGGACGGAAACCCAGCCAATGCCTTTTTAAATGTGCCTTCAAACATCTATGCTGATTTTTCACAAGTGTTTTATGATATGTAGAGTATAGGAGTTTACAATTGCATTCAAGTGCTGAATTACTCAAGGATTTAATTAAGGGTTTATTTTAATTAAACTTCAAGCTTACTGTGATTGAAATTTAGCGTAATGGACCCAGGTAAATCACTTTTTTAATGCAACCCAACCTACATGGCAAACACTGACTGAAGGTTGCCGAAACTCAAACAGTGAAGGTGAAACTGATACACACCATCAAAACAGTGTACTTGCAAAACCATGTTTGCTTTCTTCCTATTGGCTGTCCATTCCAGCAGGGACAGTGGGTAAGTCCTCGCTGTCTCCGGTCCATACAGAGACTTCTGCATGGCTTGAATGAGCTTCTGTTGGCCGACAGCTTTGAATCCATTATAGGCATGATCTGAGACAAACCTAAAGCCAAAAAGTAATGAATGCTTACAAGTTGCTAATGAACCAACATGAATACTGGTATGTTGCTTACTTCAGAAGGTATTTCTCAATTTTGGCTGATGGTGCAAACGCACTCAGGCAGGCCAGTAGCAGCAGCCAGCCCCTCTCTGAGTTTTCTGGATTGGTGTTTCTCCAAACCTGATTGGCAATTTGACATAAGACTTCATCCCGCAGACCAGGGTTGGTAAGCCCCTTCTGGATGATGTAGTTTCCAAATAAATTCTCCTGAGCACCATTGAGATGTGGGTCACCCATAAACCTTAAGATCTACAAAGTGAAAGAAGTAATGCTAATAGAGAGCTAACAGAGTTGAAATCACACTGACTTATGGCTACAACAGAGACATTTCTTCACTTAATCTCATTCTCATTGTAGGTCTGTGTTGAAAGGTTTACATGTTAAAAATCTATTTCTCTATGGAGAAAATTAATAGGATTTATACTTCAAGAAACAACATTTGTTCTTTAGTCTATTGTACCGGTGTGTAAAATAAATGACAATGGCAAAATCTTCAACAGTACATAATGTAGTGTACCATGACAAAGGCGTCTAGAGCCTCATGTGTAAGATCATCGTCAATGTGTGTTAGTGGTGTCTTCAAAGGTGCAGTTAACATTCCAAACTTAGGCTCCTATTATTAATAATACAAAAAAAACATACAAATTAATATACAGTATATCAGTCATTCCTGAATGAATATCTGAGTATGAGAGCTTATTTGTGATTTTGGAATACATTACTCATGTATGTCTTACTTTGAAGTGAATCTGGACAAATTTAGAGATAGTGTAATTGTTGATGTCAAGAGGAAGCGTGATCTGTGACTCCACCTGAACGGTGGGAGCCTGGACTAAAGCCAAGCAATCAGAATGGAGCTCTCTACCACCTTAAAAACACAGAGGTGAGATATGACATGCAGTGTACAATGGAAATACATTATATTTACTTTTTATATGCTACTTTTGAAAAGTCTGGGGTCGGTAAGATTTTGTTATCTTTTATGCTCACCGAGACTGCATTTATTTGGTAAAAAACAGCCAAATTATAAAATATGTTTTCTATTTTAATACATTTTAAAAAGTAATTTATTCCTGTGATGTCAAAGCTGAATTTTCAGCATCATTACTCCAGTCTTCAGTGTCACATGATCCTTCAGAAATCAGTCTAATATTATCATTTGATGCTCAAGAAACATTTCTTATTATCAATGTTGAAAACTGTTGTGCTGCTTAATATTTTTGCAGAAACAGTGATGCATTTATTTTCAAGATTCTTTGATGAATAGAAAGTTTAAAATAACAGTATTTATTTGAGGGAAAAAATCTGGGTTACACTTTTTTAAAGGTGACAGTTACATCGTACTTAATTAAGTACTTAGTGATATTAATTACCTACATGTACTTACTATAGTAGGTTTAGGGTTAGTTACTTGTAATTATGCATAACTTACTGTTATTACTATAGTAAGTACATGTAGTAACGTGTAACTACGTCACCTTAAAATAAAGTGTTACCAAAATCTTTTGTAACACTATAAATGTCTTTACTGTCAATTTTGATCAATTGAATGCACTCTTGCTGAATAAAAGTAATTTTCTTTTTTCAAAACACAATCTTACTGACCCCAAACTTTTGAACAATATAAAAAAATATATATATAACGTGAGGAAATTGCCCTGCAGTACCAGAGGCTGCCTGCAGCAATGCTCCGAGTTCAGCTGGAATGACCAGATGAGTGACGTTGACCACTTCCCGTTTTGACAGCTCCTGCAAATAAAGAAGATATGGAAACACTTTAAAATAAGGTCTAATTTGTTAACATTAGATAATGCATTGGCTTACATTAACCAACAATGAGCAATATATTTTTACAGTATTTATTGACCTTTGTTAATGTTAGTTCATAAGTGCATTAACTAATGTTAACATATACAACATCTTAAACATGTATTAGTAAAAGTTGAGATTAACATTAACTAAGATTAATAAATGCTGTAGATGTATTATTCATTGTTAGTTCATGTTAACCAATGTAGTTAATTAATGTTAACAAATGAAACCTTATTGTAAAGAGTTAACGACTATATTGTAAGCAGGGTTTTTTTAATGAACTATTCTCCCCATTCTTTTATTATATTTGGTTAAATACTGTAGGCATAGGACATTAACTAAAATGTGGTAAATTTAGACAGTAAATGTCATTATAACCATTTCTATTCTCCTTTGCTCCTCTTCTGCCTTTCTCCTGGCCTCGTATCTCAGCTAAAAGAAGAAAAATAAGTAAAACAATTAAAAGTGGGATTGCAGTTTAGCCTGATCACTACGCACTAAAACTGCATTGTTCTTACCTTAATAAATCTCTTGCGATCAACATACATATGGATCAGAGAGCGTAATTTCACCAGGCTAGCTCTCATTTTCACATATCGCTTCCTGTGAAGAGAAAGCAAATTTATAGAAATTGTCAAGATCTAAAACAATTTATTGGATAGAAATTGCTATTTGTGAGTAAAAAACAAACAAACAAAAAAACAATAATCACAAACTAGAAAAATCATGTCAATTTATTGGTTATAAAGAAAATGTAGTAAAATCAGATCCAAAGCATGCACATCAACAGCAAAGCAATATGTTGCTCAAATTGGGTGCTCAACAAGGAAATTAATAAAAAAGGAAAAAAGTCGGCACACCACGGCTCCAAACATGAGTACAATTTAATGATAGACTCACACACAGGTGGTGAGTCTATCATTAAATGTTTCATATTTTTGGAGCCGTGGTGTGCCGAATTTTTCCTTTTTTAGAAAGAAAATGTTAAAACGAAGAACATTCATTTATTGAAATATAATTATTTATTTTAAGATTATCACTCCTAGGGCCAGATTTACAAAACAGGGCAAAGTAGCATGCGGCTGCAATCTAATAAAGGCGCTAATGGGAATGGAAAGTTCTGCGGGTGATCTATCTACTGAGAATGTACAAATTCAATGTCATGCCAGGCAGTTAATACCAGTAATGCCACAAATACCAGTAATTTGACTACCGCAACCCTTGATAAATCACGTTGCATGATTCATTTAAATACTCAGTGGCACTTTAGTTTGGGGACCAATTCTCACTATTAACTAGTTGCTTGTTAGCATGCATATTACTAGCATATTGGCTGTTTATTAGTATTATAAAGCACATAATAATGCCTTATTTTGCATGACCTTATTCTACATCCCTTAATCCTACCCAATACCTAAACTTAACAACAACTACCTTACTAACTATTAATAAGCAGTAAATTAAGAGTTTATTGAGGCAAAAGTCATAGTTAATAGTGAATGTGTTCCCCAAACTAAAATGCGACCGATTACTTTCCTCCCATAAATTTAGCGGTCTGACAAGGAAACTCCTACAAATGCATGCAATAAGGTCATCCACAAAAATAACCGTATCCATGCTAATTTATCACTGCGTGTCTTTAGTAAATCCTGACAGTGTTTTTTTTAACACCAAAAAGGGTTTGCGCTGGCGCAAGCTGTTAGTAAATCTGGCCCCTAGTTTCTGTAAATAAAAAGTCTGACAATTAGCAACTTTGTCATCATAGCAGAAGCATCAGAAATATTGTCATTGACAGTAAGGGGGCCTTTGGGTCAAAAAGGTTGGAATCACTGATTTAGAGTGAGAATAAGATATTATGGTTTATACCTTGTGAGAAAGCCTCGGCAATGGGCCTGCAGCCGTATGATCTTCATGCGGAAGGCTGTATAGCGTTTTCTCACAAAGAACATCCTGGTGTAACGCTGCAGAGTCAGGGCAGCTACATGCCTTACTCTGTCCCTCTTACTCTCCAACAGGAAGTAGATGTCCTCTTTCATGAACAACTAACAAAAAATAAAAGGTGCAATCAAGTACTAAAAAACAAATGTGGAGAGTAGTCTCACATAGCCAGACCTTTCTCATCATAAAGTCTAGTCCACATTGCAATGATATTTTGGCCATTAACTACCTGTGGGTGGTCCATGGTGTGACGTCTGGGTCACTGTGATTCTGCCAAGTAAGACATGTTCCTGGACCAACATATTTTGTTGACCCTAGAACAACATTTCTGTCTGAAAATGTAGTCCTATCCCTACCCCTAAACCTAACCATAACTTATCCCTTAAATCAGAGGGAAATGATAGGTGACTAACACTGATGTAGAAGCACCAAACCCTGGTTGTAAGCCTAAACTTGATAAAACTGTAAACTTGTCCCTCAAATCTGATTGGTTAATCTGATTGAAAGTTGTTCCAGGATCAACAAAGATGTTGATCCAGGAACATGTTGTACTTGGTGAAATCATGTTCACCGTGACGTCTGACGGTCTGAGACTAAACGAATAGTAATAATTGCACTTAATCAGAATCATACACACCTTGGTGACACCGACTTGAAACGATCCTTGTCTAACAGGGCAAAGCTTCCTTAACATGATGACACAGTTTTCACCATTGGCAGGTGGGGGCTGTTTGAGGCCTAGCAGTGATTTATATCTAAATTCAACCGAATAATTGAGTAATTATTATAATTTTCTTGATATTTTAAAAAACAGATACAAAAGGGAAAAACTTTGTGTTAATGGCCTCAGACGTGTTTGACATGTCTAGCTCTTACCTGAAAAGGAAGACATCAAATGGCATTCTGATCGGATAGCCCTCTCTCCTGATTCGAATGGTTTCTAAAATCCCAGAATAGTTAAGTTGGGCACTGACCAGCTCCATGTCAAACACAGCAGGCTCCTGTAAGGTTACATACTCTCTCAGTGGATTTCAATTCCAGCCAAGATGCAAATAGTGATTGTGATTGCGGTTCTTTACCTTGTTTTGATTTGGCTTTATGCATCGCACAAAATATGGGTTGGCTCTGTAAGTACAAAATGGAAAGAAGTAGTTGGTGATAGAAAAACTTACATGGGTCTGAAACCAATCACAGAAGAGATTCATGTAGACAGCGTAATGCACAATTTAGGTGGTCTACCTCTCCATCTTTTCAATGAGCTCCATGAGGGATTGTTGGAACTTGGCCGCCACCGTTGAGGCCTGATGGCGCCGTGTAACTGTGCTGTTCTTCCCAACATGAGATCTCTGCTGGTTGAGGGCCTCAGCATAGCTCATAAACAGATATGCAACCATCTAAAACCACAGCGAGATATGGGTCAGTTTATTGGGGTCATTTCATTCCAGGCTCATGGTAGTTAAATAATTTATCTTACCTTGTTTTTGCTATGAATAAAAAGGTCAAGAACATCCTGGCGAACTTGATCGTAATTCTTATCCAGAAATTTATGGACCTGCGAAGCGTGTTTTCAATCACAAAAAGTTTGGTCTATTCCTCCACTAATACTTTATAGGGAATAATTAAAATGTTTGATGGTTCAAGACAAGTAGTTTAAATGCACCTGATAGGAGACCTTCCCAGCGAAATGCTTGATAGTAAATTCAGGGAGAGGCATTTTTGGCTTGGAATACAGTGGATTGTTGCCATGGTGATAGTGGCATTTCTGAAGGAAGGTATGGTCTGTAGCCTAGAGGAAATTTGTTCAAAAGGAGGTTAATTAAAATGCAAATGATGCAAACTAATAGTGATGAATAGATAAATACTAACAAGAACATCAATGAACATAAAGAAGAAATGACACCTGTGGAAACCCGCTCTGATCATCAAGAATCCGGAGTATCCCATGGGGCTTTGCTGCAATGAGGTCTATGCAGGCCTGGTTGTCAGAGAAAGGCACCTCTTCCCAGTTGATTTGCTCTCTGCTATATTCATCCTTGCACATTCAAAAGAAAATCATTTTTCAGATGCATACCACATGCAGTTTCTCAGAAGATCAGAGTGAACAGAGACAGCTTACTTGTTCTTCTTTGAAAATGACCCTGTTGAAAAAGAACTGAAGGTACTCATTTGCATAATTTATGCAAAGCTGTTCAAAGCTGTTGAAGGTAAGATCCTACAAAGCACAAAAAGGTGAGATTCAGTCGAATGCAATCCAAATTTTACCGCAATGAAGAGTATTAGCAAAATCTTTTACTGTCGCGGGAAAACAAGTTACAGCGCCATACCTCAAATCCATAGATATCAAGGATGGAGATAGATAGTGCTTCGTTCCGAGGATAAACCTGCGTATTTATTCTGTCTGTTAGCCAGCTGAACAGAAGGGAATACAGGATCTTGGCAACTGCATCTCTGTTATGTTTGAGAGGGAAAATTACCATCATATGATTACCTCAATGGTCAATGCAGAGAAAGTGGTATTTTTAATGACACTGATTTTAGTTCTAATACTCTACATCTTAATGTTCATTACTTTCTTTTTTTTCAATTCCATATTTAATTCTTGCTCAGTCTATGGAAAAATCTGGAGTGGCTAAATTTGGCGGAAGTCCCAGAACTGCAACAGCGATTTTAGTTTTGTAAATTGTATTTTTTTTCTTAGAAGCTTTTCGAAAATGTACAAGTAAAATAAAAATACAATTCAAAACAATATTTATTTTTTATGGAAGCTTGTTTACGCCACGGAATAAAAAAAAAGATTATTGTGACTTTTTATTTCACAATTCTGACAAGAATTGCGAGAACAAAAAAATCTGAATTGTGAGGGGGAAAGTTCGAATTTTGAGATAAAAAGTCTTAATTACCTTTTTAATTGCAAATTCATTTCTACAAATTTGTATATCACAATTCTGACATTTTTGTTCTTGCATTTTCCGATTCTGAGAATAAAAGTTAGAATTGCCAGTTCTAAACTCTGAATTTCAAGACAAGGTAAGAATTGTGAGATTTTAACTCTCAATTCTGAGGGGAAAAAAGTAAAAATTGTGAAATATAAATTCGTAACTGTGAAAAAAAAATTTGATAAAAAAGTTGCGATTACCTTTTTTAATTTTTGTATTCCGTGCTGGAAGCCATCTTCCAATTATTTTATTTTGAAATATTTATTTACTTATTTATTTGGAAATTAGCAAAGTCTAAGTGTAAGCATATAGAAATGCTTTGTAGGAGTTTCCCTACCTGGCATCAATTGCACTCTCAACAGTCAGGGGCGTGTAGATCTTCTCCCTCATTGTTTCCTAAGAAAGTACAGAATTACTGAAATACCAGAAATACTGGTAGCAAATCCGAAAGGGGTGAACTGGGACATTCTGTTATAATAAAACACACCACTTTTATTGGAAACCAATCACTTTACTTGGATAGATCAGTCTCTTAGCAGGATAAAAACCTGGTGTCAATGTCTGAAAGCAGGGCTTAATGTTTTCATCAGATAAGAAAAGCCTGGTAGCATGAGATCCCCATTCAATTCAATTGGACAAAGGGAAATTACTTTGAGTATGGCCTTCTCCTGTTACGTAGAGAGTACATGTTCCTTTAATGAAAAGAATCAGCTAAATTACATTGAAGGGCCCTCAAAGGTGTCTCACTTGCAGCCATGAGTAGTAGTCTAAATGCCTAAGCACATTTTAACATGGCAATGGGACTGTGAACATTGATGAGCACTGGCTCTGACCAAGACTGAGACAAAGGCTGATCTGAAACAAGATGCTGTGTAAAGGATCATATAAAAGTTTTTTCCCAATGATCAGGAATTGATGTGGATCTGATGTGAGGAAAGATGCTGAAACAGAACACGGACATGTTGATGGTCTCCACCAGAGGAAGGTTGAGGAATCAGCTCTTGATACCTCAGATGGAAAATATGTGGAATGGAAACAATTGGTAGTTTATAAGGAAACATCTTAAAAACCCTGGATTCTTCTTTATTTACAGAAACTTTACTGGACAAGGAATGATCAGATGGAACTTAAAACACTTTACCCTCACTTTACCTTTGTTGGTGTGGAATATTGGATAGTTTCAGACATATCAGGTTTGAATAGGAATTCTATTTAAATAAGCTCTCTATTTGGTTTGATTGACACATTTGAGAGATTTTACTATTGGGCCTAGGTTTTTCATGAATTGATTTAATAAATAATTAGATTGAAATAATCTGTCATAACATTGTTCTGTTTGATTGAGGATTTGAATCTATAGAGTTCAACAGTAAGGTTCTGGAAATAAAAATCCCATGCATTTCTTCCATTGGGGATTTTGAACGATAACTTATAAACCTCTAAAGACAGACCTACTGTGAGCTATGAAGTTGTTAGATTATATATGCTTTTGTTTTAAGCCATCAGCCTGCACTAATCCTGTTCAACAGTGGAATTCATGGTTAAAAACTAAACCACTATCAGAGAATCAAACACTTTAGTGCCCAACCACTCCCATGAAACATTGCAAATGATGTAAATGAGTTACTCTCCCTATGCTCTCAAACTACTTAAATGTATACTGTATACATGTGTAACAGAGGCCAGCTAGTAGCGACTACTAGCTGGCCTCTGTTACATATGCATATTTAGTAATAGACTTAAAAGGATAGGCTAGTTCACCCAAAAATGAAAATTCTGTCTATTCTGATTAATTACTCACCCTCATCTCGTTCCAATCCTGTAAGACTTTTATTCATCTTCGGAAAACAAATTAAGATATTTTTGATGAAATCCGAGAGGTTTCTGACCCCCCCCTAGACTGCAACGTAATTGCCACTTTCAAGGCCCAGAAAGGTAGTAAAGACATCTGTTATGTTATGTTATGTTTATCTGGGGAAAGAGAGACCTCTTGTGGTGACTCCTGATGTAGCGTAATGTTTACGTTGTACTTTTACGTGTCAGTTCTATGGCTCTTGGTGAAGTAAACAGTCACGTTTAGTGACGGTCTTTTTCTATCTGGATTTAATTTGGCCTGAATACACGTTTGCCTGTAAGTACGAATTGTTACAGTTATCCTGACATTTAGCACTAAGAATTTTAGAAATTAAATCCTTTAAGGAAGTTTGAGTTCGTTCTAAATGTGTATTTTGATCACATATGCTAAACGTTAGCTTCGTAATGTAATTTTCCATAGAAGTTAGCATTAAGCTAGCGCATTTGTTTATGTTTAACAGACTATATTTCAATATTGTTTTTGAACAACAACTGTATTCGAATGAAATACTAAAATGTATTGTTCTTTGCAGTTTTACAGTGCTTCCTGAGTAAAGTTTGGAAAGGATATGCAAGCTTCATTCTTTGTCTTGGGGAAACTGTTAACTATCTGCCGAGCTGATGTAAAAGGCTAGGCCGCACAATACACACACAGAAGCAGGGGCAGAACAGTAAAAAGGCATCTCTTCCAACGGCCAGCGTTTGTCGATCTGTAAGTAGAAAATCATCTAAAAGCAGCCATCATGGCACACAGAATAGAAGAAGAGGATTTTGATGGATTAGAAACCAGATCACAAATATCTAATTGCTCAAGAACCAGCAGACAATCTGTGGCTAATTCTATGGCATTGAAAGCACGGGCCAAAGCAGAAGCTGCACGTGCGGAGCTTGCATTTGCTAGAGAAGAGGCAGAGCTAATAAAACAACAAGCCATTCTAAACGCCAGTTTACATGAGCTGAAATTAGCAAGAGCGGCGGCTGCTGCTAACGCCGAAGCAGAAAGTCTTGAAGCAGCTGCTGAGGAAGAATATGAACTGTCAAATTCACTTCAGCAAATAAAAAAAAACACAGTGCCTCTAACTCCAGTCGAGATTCATAGTAGAAATGCTGCAATGCAGATTCCTATTATACATCCAGGTCATCAGCCTTATCAGAGTGCAAAAGCAGCTAATACAATAAATTCGAATACAGTCTCACAATCAGATGCAAGACCACAGATGGCCTCACATTCACCAGTGCGCCAGCTTTACATGGACAGCGGTGAAGCAAACAAATGTGAGAATCAGGACAACGCGTCACCAAGTGAAATCAGTGAACACGGGTTTCTTGAACTGAATCAACACCACTTGGACAAAGGAGAACCCATCTGGACCCCAAATCAGGTAACCAGCACTGCACAGAGAAAATCATACAGCTACAGAGAGCTCTCCCACAATGTGAAACAGACCAGTGATGATTTCAAGCCTCCCCAGTCTTACTACACACAGTCGTTCCCTATGTACAACACAAGCCCATCCAGTGCAATGGCTGCAACAGATCTAGGGAAGTACCTGATGCGACGAGAGCTGGTGAGCTCAGGCCTATTGAAGTTTGATGACAAGCCGGAGAACTACTGGGCCTGGAAGGCGTCTTTTGTCAGCTCTACTGATGACCTGAAACTCTCTGCCGGAGAGGAACTTGATTTGCTATGCAAATGGCTTGGGCCCTCGTCATCTGAGCAAGCTAGAAGGATCAGAGCGGTACACATTCACAATGCACCCGCAGGCCTTAGGATGTTATGGCAAAGAATGGAAGACGTTTATGGCTCACCTGAGGTGATTGAAAATGCTCTTCTGAAAAAAGTTGAAGAATTTCCTAAGATCTCAGCCAAAGAAAACCACAAGCTAAGAGAACTGGGAGACATTCTCATGGAACTTGAAGCAGCCAGAGCAGATGGATACTTACCTGGTCTCTCGTACCTCAACACCTCCCGTGGAGTAAGCCCAATAGTCCAGAAACTCCCTCTCAACCTACAAGAGAGGTGGATTATTGTAGGATCACGTTACAAGGAGCAGCACAGGGTGCCATATCCTCCATTTGCAGTCTTCGTCAACTTTGTCTGTGAACAGGCAAAAACACGCAACGATCCTAGCTTTGCCAGCATAACAGGAGCATGGTGTGCAGCAAAGCCAGAAAAGAGTGTTTACCAGCCAGCCAGTCATCACGTGAGAACATCAGTTGCTGTGAGGAAGACTGAAATCTCAAAAAGTGGCGGCAACAGCGATAATACAACAGCAGTCATGAAACAAGAGGATCCCGACAAACAGTGCCCACTACATAACAAACCTCACCCATTGAGAAAATGTCGTGGCTACAGAAACAAAACTCTTGAGGAGAGGAAAGCGTATCTGAAAGAAAAACACATCTGCTTCAGGTGCTGTGCTTCGTCCACTCATGTGGCTAAGGACTGTCATAGGGCTCTGCTGTGCCAGGAGTGCAACAGCGACAAACACCCATCAGCGCTACATCCAGGGCCCGCCCCTTGGAAAACTGATGTCTACGTGAGTACCGTGGATCACAGCGGGGAGCGGCAGCCGTTGGAGGCCATTCCGTCTGTGACGTCCAAATGCACAGAAATCTGTGGGAATGTGAACATGTCAAAATCCTGCTCCAAAATTTGTCTCGCCTTAGTGTATCCTGCTGGCCAAAGAGACAAAGCCATGAAGACCTACATTGTCCTTGATGAGCAGAGCAATAAGTCTCTTGGAAGAACAGAATTCTTTGAGCATTTCGGAATTCAAGGTGCGGGGTCGAGGTACACTCTGAAGACATGCTCAGGAGTTGTAGATACAGCAGGGCGACGCGCCAGCAACTTCATAGTGGAGTCAGTGGACGGCAACATCCACATTCCCTTGCCTACTCTGATTGAGTGTGACATGCTGCCAGACGACAGGTCTGAAATACCATCACCAGAGGTAGCCAGACATCATCCTCACCTCAAACACTTGACAGACAAAATCCCAGCCCTGGATCCCAAAGCGTCCATCCTTCTTCTACTTGGGCGAGACATAATCCGACTGCACAAAGTGTGCGAACAATGTAATGGGCCACACAACGCACCGTTTGCCCAGCGACTCGACCTTGGATGGGTGGTAATCGGAGATGTGTGTCTGGGAAGAGCACATAAAACCACTACTGCCAGCGTCTTCAGAACCAGTGTGCTGATAAGCGGACGCCATTCCATCCTCAATCCATGCACCAGCAACTTAATGGTCAGAGAGAAGATTGACAGCGCTGTAACACCCCACACCCATCCATGTGTGTCGTATGCAGTCAATGAAGCAGATAGCCTGGGCAGAGACGTGTTTCGAAGAACACAGCGCGACGATCAGCTTGGCCTGTCCATTGAAGATGAGTTGTTCCTTGACATCATGGATAAGGAGGTCTACATAGACGAAGCAAACTGCTGGGTAGCTCCGCTGCCATTCAAGCCAAACAGGTCGCGTCTGCCCAACAACAGACAACATGCTGTCAATCGCCTCGCCTCCCTCCGTCGCATGCTA